TTTCTTTGTGTCTATTTGAGTTCTGCTCTGATTTTTATTATTTCTTCTTATCTCCAGGGTTTGGGTCTGATTTATTTTTAGCTTTCCAGATTCTTGAGTTGTACCGTTAAGTCATTTAATGTGCCCTTTCTGATTTTTTTAATGTTGACACTCAGAGTTATAAATTCCCCTCTTAGGACTCTTTTCGGGTGCCCAGGATGTTGTGTTCCTGTACCATTCTTTTCCTTTGGTTCCAGGAAATACTTCGGTTTCTTTCTTGGTTTCTTCTTTGGCGCAGTCACCATTCTGGAGTGTGTGGCTTAATCTCCATGAGTTTGTGTAGTTACTAGAGTCATTTGCTGTTGATTTTAAGCTTTATTGAAATGTGGTATGATAGAGTACATAATTTTTTTTGTATTTGCTGAGGTTTGTTTGGTGTTCCAGAATGTGGTCAATTTTAGAGAAACTTCCATGGGCTGTTAAATATAAAGTGTAGTCTTTGGTGCTTGAGTGGAATATTCTGTCAAGTTCATTTGATGTATGATATCATTTAATTCAGATGTTTCTCTGTTTATCCTTTGTCCAGTTGATCTGTCTATTGGAAAGAGTGGGATATTGAAATCACCTACTATTGCTGAGCTCAGGTTAATCTGTGTCTTAAAGTCCAGTAGTAGTGTTTATATGAAATTGGGTACAACAGAGTTCATGCATATAAGTTCATGATTATAATTTCTTCTTGGTTGATTGTTTCTTTGATCAGACTGAGGTGACTTATTTTTTCTTTTCTGACTAATTCTAATTTGAAGTGTATTTTGTCATATATTGGAATTGCAATGCCTGTTTCTTTTTCCATCCTTTCACCTAAGGTGCCTATCCTTGAAGGTGAGATGAGTTTCTTACAGACAACAAAAATGTTTCCTAATCCATTCATCTAGCCCGTGTCTTTTGACTGGGGAGTTGAGACCATTGATACTTAAAGTTATTATTGAAAGATATATACTGGTTACTGACATTTTAATTTCTGTTTGTGTTTTTGGTCCTATTTGTGTTTCCATAATGATAACTTCATTTTTTTGTTGTTTTATTTTGTTTTTGTTTGTTTTTCTGTAGCCTCTTGAGTATGGACATTTCTTTCTTCAGTCCTTCGTATTGCTTCAAGTGTTCTTTGTCAGGCTGGTTTGGTGGACATGAATTCTTTCAACCTATTGTATCATGGAAGATTTTTCTTTCCCCTTCAGCTATGATAGACAGTTTGGGTAGATAAAATGTTCTGGGTTGGCATCTACAATAATTTAGGACTGGAATACTTTGGTCTAGTCTCTTCTGGCGTTTACATTTTGCACTGAAAAGTCAGCTGTAATTCTGATGGGTTTTCCTTTATATGTAACTTGGTGTTGATACCTTGCAGTTTTCAATATCCTCTCTTTGTTTTGTACATTTATTGTTTTTACTGTGATATGCTGAAGGGAGTCTCTGTCCTTGTATATTTATTGTTCTTTGTCTTCCTTGTATTTGTATGGGTATGGCCTTAATTCAGGGAAGTTTTCTTCGATAATCCTGTTCTTCACTATCTGGTCAATGCCATTAACCTGAGCTGCTTCTCCTTCTTCTATGCCTAGGATGTGTACATTTGGTCTTTCCATGGTGTCCCCCATTTCCTGCACATTGCATTTCTGTGTTTTTAAAATTTCTCATATTCTTTGCTTGAGTGATTTAATTCTTCAACTTTATCATGCAGTCTTGATATTCTGTTTTCCATTTGATTCATTCGTTCACTCATTCACTCATTCATTCATTCATTCATTCATCCATTCTGCTCATCAGGCTTTTCCTGCTCAAATTGACTTATTGAATTTTTCAATTCCATCTTCACTTCAGCCTGAATCTTCTTCAATATTTCTATCTCTTTCATGAATTCACTTTTTAAACCCTGAATTGTCTTTGTTCTTTCATTCTTCTGTATATTTGTATTTTCTTGAGCTCCAGCCAGGAGTTTGTTCCTGTCCTCTTTGAGCTGTTGTTGTTGTGTGCGTTTTCTTTAAAGTAGTTGGGTTCTTTGATCATGTTTATAATTGTTTTTTTAAGTTCTATGTCAGTGTTCTTCTGGGCACTTCTCATTGTAGAACACTTTTATAGGACTGGCTTGTTTGGCACTCTGGCAGCAGCAGGTGGGAAGGGGCCTGGGCCCAAGAGTTTGTTCCTGTCCTCTTTGAGCTGTTGTTGTTGTGTGCGTTTTCTTTAAAGTAGTTGGGTTCTTTGATCATGTTTATAATTGTTTTTTTAAGTTCTATGTCAGTGTTCTTCTGGGCACTTCTCATTGTAGAACACTTTTATAGGACTGGCTTGTTTGGCACTCTGGCAGCAGCAGGTGGGAAGGGGCCTGGGCCCAAGAGGGTCAGGACAGGCTCAATTTTTTCATCTCTGTTGAATAGATGAGTAAGTCCTCTAGATATTCTAGCAAGCTGTAATTATGCAGTGAAGACCATGAGGAAACCCTCTCTCTCATTCTCTCTCTCTCTCTCTCTCTCTCTCTCTCTCTCTCTCTCTCTCTGCATCATTAATTTTCCTGTGGACCGTGAACCTATCATATTGACACAGTCAATACAGAGAGTGAAGGAACACATCTTATGAAGCCTTTCCAGCTGTTCTGGATGTCTCACTGACCTACCTTCAGCTTTTGAGGCTCCAATGAGTCAGGCTGGTCCCTTCAGTGGCTTCCCTCTCTTTCTCCTGCCCTCCACTCCCCTTTCTGGGGCAGATGTGAGGAAGTAACCGCTATGATTTCTTTCTGCTCAGTCCAATCATTGCTTTGCTTCCTGTCATTGAAACCGTCTACACAGGGACCCCAATAGCCTCACGTGCCAGAGCTCATTCCCCAGCATGGTACTTGACACACAGTAGAACTCAGCTGGTATTTCTTACTGAATGAGTCAACTTTTCTGAGCCTTTGTGAAACTTTCTTTGGCCTACATGAAGTCATAATGTCTTCTCTCTTCCCTTCTTTCTATACATTCTGTCCCTAACTACTTCCTAAATATAAATTCCCACCTGTTGGGCCCCCTGACTCATCCCACATATCTCTGGCATTCACATCTGACATGTCAGCTTCCATTAATTTGTATGCTCATTGTATATTTGGAAAGTATGGAAAATATGCAGAGCAGCTACAAATCCACACTCCATCCTGCCACTGTGATGAGCTGAATTGCCTTTCTGATGAACTTCCTTCCAGCTTCTCTTCTACATGATCCTTCCCCTTTGAATGTGAAAATTACACAGGACATACAATATTTTCTCTTCTTCCTTTCAGTTAATGTTACTCATTTCCTGTTATAAACTTTCAAAAATATTTTATTATTTTTTTATTTTATGTGTCTATGTGTACTGCATGCATGTAGGTAAGTGCATCCATGTCATGTGATACACAAGAAGGACAGAAGAGGCTGTCGGATCCCCTGGAACTGGAGTTACAGACAGTTGGTAGCTGCCATGTGGGTGCTGGGATTCGAACCTGGGTCTTCTGCAAGAACAGCCAGTGTTCTTAACCACTGAGCCACCTCTCCAGCCCCTCCTGTTATAAACTTATAATGACCAATTTTATAAGCTGTACACCATGCCAGTGAGTGCTACCCTTGATCCCGTGGTAAGAAGAGGACAAACAGACTGTAGTGTTTGTCTTAACGTCTCTCACACTAGACTATGAAAGCCTGTGCCCTATTCATTCTTAAATCCCCAATGTACATTTTATATGATGTGGTTTCACCTAACTATAATTGTGAGACAGGAAGAGTGCCTTATACATTTACATCCTCCAGGACTGATTTAAGTTTTCCTCTCTGCATAAAAAGTTTTGACACTGGTTTTGGCTACATAAAGTTATTATCTCTGATTTCCAGGTCACTATTGTTTCTCACATGAACCTACAGCTTTGCTTCAGGGTCTATAATGGCCCCCAAAAAGATGGTGAGCACTCAAGACGTGTATTTGGTGGTAATCAATTCAACACACTTGCCTTTCTACTTAGATGGGTGACTATTCGCCTTTATTTTGTTTTAAAGGAAGTGTGCACTCAGTGTGGAGAAATGGAGGGGTAGAAAAGAGAAGAAAGAGGGAAATGCCCACAGCTTCGTCCCATCCCCTTCCCCTTGGCAAACAGCCCTTTAGTGTTTTGTTCTATTATTTGTTTACCTTTTCTTTGAATAATTTTTGGTGTTCATTTTAATTTCCACATGCTTGTCATAACAGCACCTATAATAATATGCATCACTTAATACTGAAACATGTATGTTACTATGCCTATATTTCATAATTTGAAAGTGTCTCCTCCACCGGATGCCTGTCGTTATGTCGTGCGCCCTTGTTCTTGGACACTGCAATTTCACGTCTCTTTTCTTCTCCTCTCTGTTTTTCGTTTGTTTTGTAAATCTTTATTCTTAATTACTTTAAATGAACATTGGGTTGGTCACTTTTGTGTGACATTTCTTCTCTGTAATTAGGATTACATTCTTAAAAAAGGAAAACGAGTGGCCATTTTTTTCTATAACAGTATCAGTTTACATTTAAATTTCAAAGAAATGAAATGTAAATTCATTAACAAAACACATAAGAATTTCAAATTCCAAATTATAAAGACAGGTATACATGTCATTCCTGCTTCATGCGCAATTGTGGAGCAAGTATTTTGGCTGAATTCGGGACTGGGTATGCAGGACTATGTTCATGTGTACTATATATGCTGTAGAGCTACATATAATCACACTTATGGGCTTCTTAAAACCAATTTTACGACTTTCTTATGTGCTTATGTAGGAAAGCCCCAAACCTCACAGAACAGCAGTTATGCACCAGGAATGCTCCCTGGCTGGAGTGAGGACAGGCTCAGCTGTGGACTGTAATTTAGGGATCTCACCAGACACAGAACCAGACTTAGCCTAAGTTTCAGCAACTGTGAACTAAGGAAACTGACTTAAATAACATTTTGGTAGATTCTATGTTTCAGAGGTAAAATAATTGTCACTTACAAGGTCTGCTTGGGAAGACAGCTGTGGGACAGTCACCACGCATAAAGATTTCAGACAGAGACTGAAAGAGAAGGAAGTTCACGTTATCTTCAAAGGATAGCAATGTCTACTTTGTCCTGTTATCATCACTTTGTGCTTTGAAAATTTAACTCCACATCTCGGGATTCTAAATCATTTCCACCACTGCCAGTAACTGTGGCTGTCATACTCACAAAGAGGACAAAACCCTCTTTATTGAATGAATAATGATAAGACAAGATCTTCTGACATGAAGACATATCTGTGAAATGTATCTCAGCCAGACTATGACTCTCTAATCCTTCCAAATTTTTTGAGAAACAGCCTCTTCTCTATATAACAGCCAATTAATATTATCTAATATAGTAAAGCTTCACAAATTCCTTGTGAATGTCAAACTTAGGGAGGAGTATTTCTTTTTAAGATTTATTTTTATTCTATGCATATGAGTGTTTGCCTGAATATATGTATGTGTGCCAGCTGTCTGTGGAGGCCAGAAGAGGGAATTGGATCCCTGAAAATGAAATTACAGAAAGTTGTTAGCCATCAGTGGGTGCTGGGAACCAAATCCAGGTCCTCTGTAAGCATAGTAAGTGCTCTTAATCACAAAGTCATTTCTCCAGACCTGAGGGGTGGTTTTAAAATTATTTTTATAGAAGGGGCGAGGGAGGGAGGGAGGGAGAGACTGAGATTCCAAGGCATGTGTGTGGAAGTCAGATGGCAACTTATTGGCATCAGTTCTCTCCCTCTACCATGTGGTTTCCAGGGACAGAACTCAGGTCATCAGGGGCTTGGTGGCAAGCACCTTTAACAGCTGAGCCATCTCATATGCTTTTTGTTGTTATTGTTGTTGTTGTTGTTGTTTTGTTTTAAATGTGTAGTTGTTCTCAGACTAGACTTGGAAGTAAAATTCTTGTTTCCAAGTTGCCATGGAGCTTTATCCCTACATTAGTAAAATGGTAACTGTAACTGATATTAAATTCTAGCCCTTGACTGCAACACAGTCCACTGAGGTGCAGAGAACTGTTGGTGTCATAGAACAGGTGGATCTAATGTGGCAGACACAACAGTCTTTCTTAACTCCCAAGTCTACACAGTGATGCACTATGAATGATGTGTGTGTCTCTGTGTCTACACCATAAGCAG